GATAAAGGAGTGGAGACTAGAAAAATGGTGGGGCGATGGAGCCTAATCAAAATGAATAGAGTATAAAGTAAAGAGATTGCTAGGGAGAAAAAGTGAACTACATGAGTTGGGAAATCCCGAGGGATGAAACTTCGCACATGTCGGCTTTCTAGCATATACGATTTGTCTGCTATAAAGGATATTATATGCCTAAAACTCGCTGGACGACGCAAGCTTACTTCTTCCAAGAGGGAGGTCGAGGTCTGTTGCTTGACTTGCTGAATGTCTAGTTCCGTCCTCAACTGGTGGACATGCAGTTCTAGCCTGGAAACCTCGGAATTTTTTTCGTTTATCTAAAAAAAAGCATTCAAAGGTTATGCAAGATTTCAATGTATAATAATAAAATTATGTTATAGCATTCTAAAACCTTACAATTGTAGACTATTATGGTACAAGTCTCTGACTAGAGGGGTTGGCAAGACGGCCTGGAGTAGTTCTGATACCCAAATTTTGTTTGGTAAGTCTAAGGTATTGGTGCTTGAGTCCGGGCCCAGCGTATACAAGCGAGGTGAGTCTGCGAGAATTGCGCAGAAGCTACAGACAAGTCTTTTGGCAGGTTCCATCGACTCTCGAAATACTTCTCTTGACTCAGACGCACGATCTGAATGGATGTGTGAAATTGAAATGGCATGAGGCTACAGGGCCCTGGTGAGGCTCAACTGAGGGACGCGGTGAGAAACGGACGCAAATCTGCCTCCGCGCCAGGCCTGAGCAGAGTAGGACGTCAGGGATGTTAGAGGAAATTAAGGCCGAGGGCCTTTCGTCATACTCGATTTCCGACGACCGTAAAGGTGGGCCTCGGGCGAGGGTACAGTGAAATGCGTGATTCCGTCGGCAGCAGAGCTTGTCTCCGCTGCGGTCAAAGAGGCTGTTGTGATTGGACCCGGCACATGGGCTGACCGAAGACAAGCTGATCGCAATAAGTTCAGTGAACGCATAAGATCATAGCTTAAGGTTGGCCGAAAAATGTGCGGACGCGGGGCTGATGCCGTGCTCAAGATCAGTTCTGTTGAGGATTCTGAAAGCTCTGCACAAACCTACCAGCTTCTGATTGGCAGAAAGCATGGCCTGATGTGATTGGTCAGTTTGACGGAACCAATGGAAAGTTTGTTTGCGAATGTTATTGATCGACCAGTTTTGGTGCATGAGTCAAGCTAAGAAAGGAGAAAAGCTGAATTTCGAAGGTGAATGCATTGATAGTTGTATACCTTTCATTTCGTTAAAGGAGGAGAGTTTTCAAGAGTTGGAGGTTGAGCTTAACGGAAGCAAAATGGGGATAGCTTTGGGGTTGTGTCATCATCAGTGCAGGATATCATGGTCTATAATAATTCACAACAATACTTGTTATATCGAAGATATGATGACCAAGATAGTGTGGCCTTTGTGTTTTCGCAGTCTCCTTTCGTTGTAGAGAAATTGTTTGACCTTGTTTTCGCAACTTGGTCATATTGGTAGGAAGACTTGTAGGAACGCACCTTGTCGGGAGTCCATTGTATGCAAAGTTGAACCGTGGACGTGGTACATTCTGAAACGTTCCGCCGGCATCGTCAGTGAGGCTCGCCATTCTTAGCACCACACAACAAACCGTCAAAGGGACAAGTGAAGCCCATCCTTTGACCAAACGTGTGCTAGACAATTGTGGTGTCTCCCCTTCGGCCCTGGCCTATTCACATTTCATAATTCCTCCTATCACACCTTCACTGGCTGACTAGGAGATCATGAAAATGGAAAATAAAATCCTTTACTAACGATATGGTTAAGTCTGTCTTCCCAGCGATTTTATTCAGCAACTTTAGCAAGTCATGAAAGCTTTGCTTATCGTGTTGCCAAACGACAAAGTAGCCATCAACAGGCCTAATCCATAATTTAGGAACCAAAAGTGCTTCTTTTTTTAGGTGAATATCTGAATAAGCGATGTAGTTATTTGCTAAAATTGGATACAAACTCGATTCCAGCTAAACCTCGTGACTAGACTACGGTTGTCGTGAGCTTTAGTCAGCTTGACATTTGCCGGCGCAACGTGACTGCCTCGGTAGGACCCCGCTATGGAGCCAACTTGTCAAGACCATTGGAAATGCATGAAAATAGCAATTCCCCAGAAAAAGCATTTCTGCCTCCTATGGTAATGGTAGAAGAGGAGAACAGTGAAGTGTTTACGAGTTGTCACACAAAGGTCTGAAATTACATGTCAAGAATTGTGAGTCCAGTGCAGGGAGGAGAATCGGGCCCGTAAAGTGTTGTAGGCCCTGGACGGATCTGCCAAAGAAGATAAAATAATTTAGTAGGAGCTTTCTCGGGGGAGGGACGATGTACTGAGGAGTTTTATGTTCAAGCGGAAGAGTTAGCAAACGGAAAAGCGGGATGAGGCGACCAGGAGGCCTTATTCCGGAGGGAACCTGGTTCCGTGATAGCTTGCTTACAATTGCTCACAAAATATGAATGACAGCAAAACTTACAATTATGAATTGGAAATAAGGCTTTTTACTCACCTGTTCTTTGATCTTCTGAGGATTATACTCCTTTTTGAACATCTCAAACTCCT